TTACTCTCAGTTCCTTTCATATCAATAAATATCACGAAAACAGTAAACAATATTTATATTTATGCAACCCGGTTTTTCACTTAACTAACTGCTTAACTATTCCCTATGGGAAGGAAGCTCGTAGCAAGTTAATAACAACAAAATTACAAAAATAAAATATTAATTTACTTTAAACAAGTTCTCTAATCAACCTCAAATTCAACTCTCCCATTCTGCAATAAAACTTTGGTATATATACGCATAGACAAATCCATTTAGAAAGGGTCAACAGGTTATCCCATTATTTATACTCATTCCCTTAAAAGCGTCTCGATCATATAAAAACGTTTTCCTTACGTTATTATTCAAATAATGAGCGTCTAATAAATTCTTTTATAAAATCTATAATAAATGTTTATACCTATCGACGGATGACAACATGTTTAAATTATTCACAATCTGATATTAAATAAAACTAGATCTGTAAGTATCAAACACTTTTACCTGATAAAATATAAAGCAAGCAAACTGTCGTTTGATAAATAAATTGCAGTATCAATGGCGATTATTCAACAAAGGGGAGTAACTATGTATAATCATTACACTTGTAATATAAACCATACATTGCATAACCTTTGTTTTCTTATATTTATTTATTGTATAAACATGTACAAAGTTCATGGTATGGATATGGAATATAATAAAGAAACTCACCTCTACTTCAGCGTTGAAACCTTTGAAAGACATCCTTCCATACATTAAATTTTCACATCTTTCATAGCTTGGCTCTAAAACATATTTACTTCTGCAAACAAAAACAAAAATACTATATTGACAATGACTACTTGAAAACCTTAGTAACATGAAAAAATAGTCAATTATTATATTTGTTCTAAAAAGTGGAATACAGTTAAAAAACAAGAGTAAACGTTTGTCTGTTAAGTGCAACCATTGATAAAAATTCTAAGTTAAAAAATAGAGGTATAATTCCAAAAATATAACTTTCAGAATTATGCCCCTTGTCTAACAACTGCAATTTACCATGATAAGCAAATATTCCAAGTTTCATGTTGACACCTTTTAAAATGTTTGAATAATTGGCTACAGTAAATTTTTTGCATGACCTTAACAATGCAGTCATCAAAAAAAAGCTTGCTATCACAAAATTTTGACCTTTTCTTCGAAACAGCTGGATGAGCTAAAAATTTATTATGTTTTTTCTAGAAACTTTGGATTGAAAAGGTATAATGTTATTGGAAATATATAGACTCAATTTCAAATAATAATAAGTGAAATGAATAGAGCTGTCATCAATAGAAACATTATCGATGTATCCTTGATACTTTTCTGTTGATCAATAATCAATACACATTTCAAAAAATCGATAATTTTGACTTACTGATTAAATGTCTAGAAATTAGGAAAATTCATCCAGAACATAATACTGAAGCAGGTTTCCATGTCTAACATTATGCACAATGATGACAAAAAAAAAAGGTCTGGATAAAAATCATGTAATGGGCTTTTATGAACAAGACACTAAACAGAACATGTTTTCAACTTGAATCAATGACAGCCCTAGAAATGAACCTTTCAATCGTTTTTGATTTCTTTTACAAAATGATTGAAAATCTGATGATGTTATAACTATGCTTACTCTCTTTGTTCAATAGGCGGCAGATCCAACACCCAATGTTCATCATCTATTTCATGTTTCCTTTCTTCTTCACTTTTTTCTTTTTCTATTCTAAGTGCACTCCTTTTCATAAACTGTAAATTTACAACAATTTTGTTTTTATTATTTGTTTTATTGAGGTTTTTTGACATAAGGGGAATGATAGTCCAACAGCTAGTCTTTAAAATCTGTCTGCAGCTATGATTTTACCCAATATCAGGGCTCTCGATTGACACAGGGATCCGGGTTTTGACTCGTGAAAATCGGGAAATGCACATATTTGACACGTGATAAAATCTGCTCAAGAGTCAATTTTCCACATGGGACTTTCAGCAATGCAATAATAATTACCTTAAATCCACCCCTAATTATCTATCAAATCCTACATGTGTTCAAATCACACTCATAAAAAATGTCAACAGGCAGTATAAGATGTGTATAAAATGCTTTACGCACGGCAATTGTTTATACCCTGTGCACTGAAGCGCGACAATTCAGTGGCTGCAATTTGACAGCGCTAAAAATAGCTCTACACAACTGATAAGAATTACATACTTGAGGTGTCAATTATTGATTGCTTCTGAAGGTTTATAATACGTCTTTCATTTACTTGGAGTACCTGTGCATTTCTTATAAATATTCCTGGTACATTTTGGTATTTAAAATTAATATGATATAGCATACCAGTAAAGATATTTTTTTATATTTTATACATTTAATCAGAAAAGCTGCTGCTTATTTTATTCTTTCACAGCAATTCATGTTTTTGTTTTATTTGTTTTGTTTTTTAGGTGGTGGGGGTATAGACATTTATAATTAGGCATTTTTTTCTGTCAATTTAGACTTTGGAATCTCCAAAAATGACCTCCAATACAGTTATTTTTGTAACATAATAATGATTCATGTAGTCAAATGACACTAGAAAAAAATTATTTGACTCATGAAAATTTTAGCCAAAGAGTCTTTGACTCGTGAAATTCTGACCCTACTGAGAGCCCTGCAATATTATTTTTTTAATACACCGACTGACAGTTTCTGAACTAGAGGACGACAGGCTATTCTTATCAGTAAAATTGCAAGTTTTAAAAGATAATCAGTTGCATATCTCACGGTATAAAACATATGTTAAATGGTCCGACTTGTGGTAGGTTTAACCGTAAATTTAAATACCTTTAGCAGAGATCTGCCAAGAATTTGAAAGTACTGGGCCCTGGGCCCACTTGGTCTGAAAATGATGGGCCATTTTTACCAAAGTATGGGCCTTGGGAAAATAAGTAAACATTGACCTAAATAACTGTTAAAAAGTTAAAAGTAGATAATTGAATTTCCCTGGTAATAAAACTTAAATCATATTTTATGACAAGTGGTTCACTTATGATTCAGTACTTAACCAATAATTAAAAATTATGCCTACATGGTAACTTTCTAACTAATATTAATTGCAGGCAAAATATTTTTTAAATGGCTGCTCAAAAATTTGATATGCAAATCATTCACATACATCTAATGTCTAATACTGTGCATTATCCATTGAATTGTTCCTACTTTGCACTAAATGTCCCTTACCACTGTATATTGACGAAATTTTATTGCCCCTTGTATGCCTCTGTGTAGACAGCATACATCAAAGACACTTGCCGACAGACCTTTTGATCATGAAAAAAAGTCATGCACAATGTTTACCTGATTGGTTAATCCCCCTGTCAAATATTCTGATGACGAAATAGACATCTTTTTTTACAAAGCTTGCATAAACTTGAGTGACCTTAGGGGTGCTCATGTTGTACACCTGTCAGATTATGCTGTAACTTACAGCATTTCTTAAAATAGCAACACTTTTTTTCAGTTACCGATAATCATTTTAAATATTAAGTAGTTGTATAATTTGTTTGTTTGTTATATTGGATTAAATTTACGTAGTAGAAATGAGTATCTGTGTGGATTATGAGAAGAAATGCGGTAAGTAGATAACATGGACATAAGCTATAGGGGAATGGATAAACTCAAGAATATGCGTAATTACAGGGGAATGTTGCTGTTGGTACCAGTTTTGACTGGATGACTAAATAAACCAGCAGACAGTTTTGTTTTCTTATAAGTCTGCCACAGATTTTAGATGCGCCCATGGCCCTTTGCTGCCGATTTTCCTGCGCCATTCTCATTTTTTTAGCGCCAATGGCGCAAAATCGCGTCCTCGGCAGATCTCTGCCTTTAGTGTCAAACAATGTGTTGAAGTATATACGTAGATGAAGCTAAGATCATAAGCTTTTCATTGGTGTAATAAATTTTAAAATCGACCATTAAAATCACTCAGATTATTTCTAGGGATGGGGTTAGTGTTTTGGGAAAGGGTTAGGTTTAGAGGGTTACAAGTCATGGATTTTGCTGCGGACAGATTCTAAAAGTGCTCCTAGTTCAACTAATTGTACTACATGATGAGATAATCAGAGATATTGTGATATTTTGTGTATTCTACAAAAAGCGAGATTCTGACCCACAAAAAAAATATCTCAGAATCTAGCTTTTGACTACAGGGATGTAAACATTGCCAATGACTTACTGAGTAAACTTTGGCAAACTTGTACAGTAAACTTCACTTATAGCGAACACAGTTATAACGAACTTCCGGTTATAAGGAACAATTTATTTTGGCCCGAATTTTGCCCTTCCTTATTTAATATAAAAATATACGGTTAAAGCGAACACGGTTATAAGGAATTATCGCTTATAAAGAACTCATTTCTTAGTCCCAATTTAGTTAAAAGTACAGAAAATTACACTTTTATAACGAACTCCAAAATATCGGCTATCCGTAAATAGATCCCGCATTTTCAACTTTCGTTTTTTAGCACCCGGCCGAATGTACCGTTTATTGTTGTATGTACTTCAAAACATCTATTAAAATGAATTTGTATAGCAGTACCTAATAGCATAATCCATTGAAAATTAAGAAGTACGCTTGATTGAAATGAAATGAAATCTATATCTTTCATAAGTTAAAGTTACCCTTAAAATATAAGAGAAGATATTCAATATAAAAGGAAGAAAAATTGAAATATTGTTTATTCTTAATCATGCAATCAAAACAAAAAAGCACTGAGTTTAGAAACAAAATATGATATTTTATGATAAATTGAGAAAAGGAGTAAAATAAAAAAAAAACTGAAATAGCAAAGGATTCCAAAAAGTACGCTCTCGGGTATTGTTTATAAAATAGAAAAAAAGACTTTTTTTTAAATCAAATGCTCTTCAAAATGGCTCTCGTTGGTAAACAATCAGTTCGTTATAATAATATTGTAAATCTGTTCGCTATAAAAACTCCTGTTACAAGGAACTAATTCGCTATATGCTTACAAGAAACTCCGGATATAAGGAACAGATTTTGAATGTCCTTATGAGTTCGTTATAAGCGGAGTTTACTGTATATAGTACACTAAAGAAAACGGAATGAACCTTATATATACTCCGGGTCTAATCCAGGATATAGCCGATTTTTCAATCCATAAATTTACAGATATTCAAATGAAATTTGCTGTTTTTGGTTTTACACTAAAATCTGCAGCAAAAGACAAGTTGTTTAATTGATTGTTTATATTTACAAATGTAATTGGGCGAGTTTCATCTTTGTATGATGATTTTGAAATTTTTGTTGAAAGTGAAAATGGAAAGTCATCAAATTGTTCTTAATCTTACCATAGTGTTAGTTACATATAGTCATATAATATGTAACCTTATTCATTTTAAAATGTGGTTTTGAATTTTAATGCAACTTCTACTATTTTTCTACTTAATGCCTGTAAATTTACAGAAAATTATTGATCGTCCAAAAATTTACAGACTGTCCATAACAAAATTTATATCAATTCATGAAATCCTAGACCTGTTTAAAAGAAAGCAGAATATAGCATCTTAAATCATTGAGTCAATACCTTCATTTGTAAAACATTGCTGGACAAGCTTGACTTAGACTCATCTCCAGCCATTTCGTTATTTCTATTAATTGTTGAAAAATAAATATAACGTGGTCAGACCAATTAGAAGAGCGCTTTCCTATGTCTTCACCGACAAAAGGGATAAATTATTAAAATGCAGAACTTTAATGCCAAAGTTTTTATTAAAACCCCGACTGAACACATTATATATACATAAAAATTCTTTTCTGTTAAATTGTACATTCACATTAATATATTACACTTAAAAATGTTATTGATTTGAAAAGTAACAACACTAAAGTTAATGACAGATCCCGTTCAGAAAAGGGCCTGTCTAAAACGCGGACGCCTTAAGCGGACAATATAAACATATAGGGAAAACGCTGACAATATAGACAAAGAGGAAAAAAGCGGACGATATAGATATATAGTGTAGACTAATTGGTGATGATTTTGGGCATTGATGAAGTTTATAAAAATGACGTGTAATTGGATTTATACTTTAATATATAAAAAAAATATAATAAATTAGCAAATTGGGAGAAATATTAAAGTAATTTATGATTGAATGTCAATGAATTTTATATTATATTTATATGACACATTTTCGGAATTTCTAAATATTGAAAACTAATATATAAAACAAATGGATCAAATGAATGTCTTTAGAATTACAATGATGGTACTAAATTGGCAACAGCTGATATGTAATTAAGGATATGTATTTCATTTTGGCATTGTTTTTGTATGTCTTTATGTGCAACTGGTAGGCGGACAAAATTTTTGTTCGCAAAATAAAAAAAGCCTTGATTTTTCAAAATCAAAAGTTTGTAAGAGTAATTTTTAATCATAAATTATTGATATAAATAAGTAATGACAGGCTGTTGTTTTTTATTGATACAATATAAGCAGAAGCGTGCTGCAAATTAACGGTAATTATATAAGTGTGAACAACACGCTACTGATTAATCGTGTCGGCACTTAGCTAGAGATAACATGATACGCATTTTGCGGACAATATAGATATATAGGGAAAACGCTGACGATATAGAGAACAGAACAGAACAGAACATATCTTTTATTCACCCAGGTACAAGAAGATATAATATCGTACAACATGGGGTTATTACGAAATTTACATGAACACAAAATAATACAGTATCCGGTCAATGAGTGTTACAATGGTACAAAATCGTAAGAAAAAGAGAAAGAGAAAAGAAAAAAAAATGAAATGAAATATAAGTTTTAAAAATTGATTGCTATTTAGAAACACGTTGGTTGCTGGAGACGGGGGAATGCTCACATTAAATCAACATTAAATAAATACTGATGTCACTCGGTTAATTATTTTTTTATTTATTTATTTAATTTTCATGAATCGAGTGCGACTTTCAAGAGAAAACACGAGAAAAGTAGTCCGCTATCTATGAATGGAATTCCACATAACTGTTAATTGGGTTACTACTAGAATACGATTGGCTGTTAGTAAAGATTTCAGTTTGCCATTGGATAACTTACTGGAACAAAGCTATAAATAAAAATAATTATATATATATAGATATAGAGGAAAAAAGCGGACGATATAGAAATTTAGAGTAGACGTATACTCTTGTGACGGACACGTGTTGCAAATTAACGACAATTAAGTGTCAACAACATGCTTCCTGATTGAACCTGTCCGCTCTTTGCCCTATTTTTGCGGACAATATAAATATATAGAGAAAAAGCTGACGATATAGATATAGAGGAAAAAAGCGGGCGCTATAGATATAGTGTAGAATGATGTGTGAGATAAAATTATAATAAAATAGATAATGATAATGTATAGTAATATTGTGCAGTAATAAAAACGAAGATAAAGAATGAACTTCATTGCAATTTTATTTAAGCAATATAACACATTCGGTACATGAATTTATTTTACACATACAAATAATAATATCAATGTAACAACTCAATATATGTATATAGCTATAAAGAATATAACAATCACATATTTTAACAAAATCCCTTACTTAAGACAACAATATTAAATAGACAATGTATTAAACGTTTATAGGAAAAACGATGGCAATATATACAAAGCGGAAAAAATGCTGTCCAAAAATATATTACATTTAATTTATAATAAGTATTGTTTTAAAATAATAAAGTTCTATAATTAAATTAATATTTTTTTTAATTAAAAATCATAAAATCAAAAATTGTATTTTCAGACTGCAAATAACATTGATCTTAAAGTGAATCTTAATAAATGTAAAATATATTATAAAAAAGTTCGTTTTTCCTTTAAGAACATAAACCACAATCAAAGTCATTATCAATGGATGACACATCAATGGGGGCATTAATACAATTTTTATGGAACCATTTATTACATTTATCACATAAAACCATATCATCAAGGCATTCAGGTAAATTACATAGACAATAATTATAAATATTAATAATTGTATCACTATATTGTTTCCTTTTACTTAAAGTTTTCTTAGTTAATGGAAATTCCGTCATTTCTTTTCGTTCAAAACAATTTAAGCTTTTGTGTATCTGGCAACACACAGAAAAAACACCTTTTTATCAAAGGGCCATAACTCAGCCAAAAATCATTCAACCGGAAAACCCGTGCAATATGCGCAAGGACTTGAGCTACACATCAATCCTGTAAAGTTTCATTGAAATTGCATTAGTGGTATAAGAGAAGTAATCCGGACAAACTTTAAAATTAAAAATTATTAAAGGGCCATAACTCTGACAAAAATCATTGAACCGGAAAATGCTGACAATATGCACAACTAGACTTGGTACTGATCATTCCTGTAAAGTTTGGATGAAATTGCACCAGTAGTTTATGAGGAGTAGTCCGGACAAGTTTTGTGACGGACTGACGGACAGACAGACAGACGGACAGACAGACGACGGAGAAGTGATCCCTATATGTCGCCACTATTCCGTAGAGGCGACACAAAAATGGAATCAGTATATACATAAATATATAATTTATACATTTCTTACTGTTTTATTGTCTGGTAGAACATAACATGATTGTTCAAGAAAATTCATATCTTATTCAGGTTGATAAAGATTACAATGGGGAATATCATTGATATGAACTTACCGAAAAATATGGAGCAACTTCAAAAATGTCCTCTTCGAAACAAAACTGGCGTGTTTTATATCCAGGATAGGAAAACACACTGTACGAATGTTGACACAAATAATCACTCATATATTTTACTTGACTGTGTCCTACAACGAATGCCATTTTAACAATGCCTTAGTGAAAACACTTTATACAATATTTGATACACAATTACACTTTAAAAGTTAAAGAACACAATAATTTAATAATCCAATTCAAATTAACACTTTGTAAGCAATGAAATGAATTCAAAGCATGTAACTTTAAATTTGAACAAATAAATAAACTAAAGTCTTTTTTAATTATTATAATAATTACACCTTTATAAAAGCCAATTATTAGCCTTTAATATGAATTTAACTATGCTCTAAATTTAAGAATTTGAACAAATAAATAAACTAAAGTCTTTTTTAATTATTATAATAATTACACCTTTCAGATATTACTTTATAAAAGCCAATTATTAGCCTTTAATATGAATTTAACTATGCTCAGTCATTTTACACTATATATCTATATCGTCCGCTTTTTTCCTCTTTGTCTATATCGTCAGCGTTTTCCCTATATGTTTATATTGTCCGCTTAGCAATCCGGTCAACTCGTCCCCTGGTCAACTCGTCCTCTGGTCAACTCGACACCTTTTTGGTCAACTCGTCCCCTACTTTTGGTCAACTCGTCCCTAATATGGTCAACTCGTCCCCTACTTTCGATCTCTGTCTTTAAAATGTCTTTAAATAATTCTTTTATGTAAAATATGTAAAATTAATACTGAATTTGATTGATATCGAAATATTAATAAAATAATTACGTCTTTTTTACGTTAAATTTTAATGATCTTTATCTAAGCGCACGTGCATAGCTTTGATGTCAAACTACAAAGACAGGTAAGTTTACAAACATTCAATTAATGTTTAATTAATCGGAGTTTTAATGATAATTAAAACTAAAATTAGGTCCAACTCTTTGATTTTTCCCGCCTCCCTGAATGGATTAAAGACTGACGACAGATTAACAGAAATTAGAAGCGCTAAAAACTTTATGTCGGTGCGTATTGATCTCATTATAGAAGGATCGTGTCAATTAAAAACATGATAATTGTTTGTTGGGAACTTGTCAATATAAAAGTTTCCCTGATAAATATAAGATTTATTCTTAAAAACACATTTGCGTTGTACGTTATACGAACATTGGATTATTTTTTTTGTGCATATCAATCATTTCTTAGAATTCCATATTGTTGGATTATAGACTGCATGTGAACGGTGTATGTGACAATTTTAATTATTTGTGTTGTTGATTGTGATTTTTTTAATTGATTAGTGTTGTTAATTGTGACAATGTACCCCTGCATTGATTGTAGGAAACATGTGCGGAAAAATCAGCAAGCACTTCAGTGTGAGCGCTGTGAACACTGGCAACACAGAAGTTGTAATACAGGTTAGTCATTTGTGATGTTTATGTTCATTTTTAACAGACAAATGATCTTGCAATTCCAAATGATCGTATATAGTGTATTGGATTAAAAAATGTCAAAGAATATTTAAAGAATTTATTAAGTTTTTTTTTCTAAATTGCATTTTATTGTAATATTATGGTCCATTATTATCATAGGAGTTGTATATACATACATGCCTTTGAAAGAGTTAGTATTTATTTTTTTATTTTTTTTTTCATTATTTTTTTTTAAATAAAAAATCCGTACAATAATAACAAGTTGTATTTAATCAACATTTTCATATATTTGACCATACACCATCAAATCAAATTCGACATTTGGAAAATAAATTTTTATAACAACCTTTGGCACGATTTTCACGCGATTTGTATAATTTCAAATTAAAGACACGCGTTCTTTAAATATATAAAAACGTATCCAACCACAGAGGTATTTGTGTCGTTAATCCTATTATCAAATTACCATGTGTATACTTTAATAACCAAAGGCACGTGTCACGATATATCTAATTAACAACAATTTATATCATGCATAAAACAGTACAGTATCCACTTATCGTCAATCAACACGATAATTTAGGTCATTGTATCAATTGTGTCAATTATATTTATTTATTGGTTGTAAAATAATGATGATATGTTTGATTTAATGAAACATATTTAGAAATTAGATTAACAAGTGTATTCTAGCAATTGAGTAAAAACAGTTTAACCCAGGATAAAACCAAAATTGGTTTATGGATTAAATTATTATCATTATCATTATTTTTATTATTATAATTATTATTATTATTATTATTATTATTATTATTATTATTATTATTATTATTATTATAACATGGAATATATGTTGATATAATGATACTACATGTACTAATATACACATGATATCGATGTATAAATGCTCATGCTCTTCTCATGTTGTATATAACTGCCGCAATTGAATGTATGACGAACATGTACATGTTACAATAAAAAGAACATATTTAATTTAGGTAGTCAACTGAATAAAAACATTATATTACAGGTATAACAATCGCCGACTATAGGTCAGCTGTGAGAGGTGACCGGGAGATTGCGTTCATTTGTCAGCCATGTAGTGCTACTGCTAGAGAAGAGCCTGCCGATGAATCTCTTCAGTGTTGTGCGGAGAACTCACACCAGTCCGACGAATCATGCAACGAGACGGGTTATGTGGTCAGTTCATCAGTCAACACAACATTTTCTAGTGAGAACTACGATGTCTCTATGTCTGAGTATGCTAATGAATCTGCTGCTGATTGTTCAAGGTCTATCCTAGCTGACAACTCCTACTACGAACGGGATGACGTCCTAGAGTCGTAAGTCAAATTATATTTAAATGAAGACCTCAGAATTAACATTAAAATGTTCTTTACAGAAGAGAAATGACCATAACATTGGCTAGTTAATAATGTATAATTTTGCAGACACCGATTCTCTTTACAAAAGGAAGTATGAACTCATGTATATACTGTCACTTGCATTTGTGCCATAGCCAAATTCGCAGCTACTTAAAATAAATAAAGTTTGATTTACACATATAACTGATAAATGCAGAACAGTTTCGCCTTTTTACGAACTTGATACTTGAAAGTATACAAACCTAATAACTAATATCAGATTTTTTACTAATACCGTTCTTTCTATATTATAACCTTATCTAATCTTTGTACATGACAAAAATGAATGTTTTTATACTGTCACTTAGACTTCTTATCATATCCTGTCAGTTATTATATTATGTATAACGATTTTTATTCCTTTTCAGTTCCGGCGAGGGTCCTGTGATGCTTGGTTCTGTAATCGAAGATACGCCAGTGACTTACGAAATACTGTCAGGTGCTTCACAGAGGGGTAAAGATATATTAACGGACTCACAAGGATACACGTACAACCTCAAGGTAGTTTTTGATATCAAATATACAACACTTATACAATATTTTTATTTAAATATTAGATAACAGAATGTAGAATACATGACCGCTCTATATATATATATATATTATCCTTAATTACGCATTGATTGATAAATTTTAAAGATGAATGATTTCCATTCTTAGGTATAACACTTATACATTATTTTTATTTAAAAAATTGATATATGAAAAGTGTTAGTTAATGCTGCATTTAAATATTAGATAACAGAATGTAGAATACATTTAAATATGCCCGCTCTATATATATATATTATCATTAATTACGCATTGATGGATCAATTTTAAAGACGATTGATTTCCATTCTTAGGTATAACAACATTTATTATAATGTTTAAATGCATTTATTGAATTTATATTCAAAATATATCCAGGGTAGGAAAAAAACTTCTTCTACATGGCGCTGCAGCGTGCGCAATGTTAACAATGTGTGCCCAGCTCTTGTGCGACAAGTTGGCTCCGACTTCTTCCCTGGTGGAAAGGATCACAACCATGGTAGCGTGCCCTCAGCCAAAGCTAGGATGTTGATAACTCAAGAGGTAAAGACAATTAGAAAAAAATACAGTATCTTATTAGTAATGTACACCACCATTTCAGGTATAAATGAAGAAAAACGTCCTGCAAAAAAATGCATTGTTAAAAGAAATGTACATGTATAAATAAATCTTCAAAACATGGCTCTGCATTAGTAAGACATTTGTAAATAAAAAATGCATGAAATAGCATATTTTGTCCGTAAAAAATTATTATGTACCGACTGATTACAAATCACATAAATGCGTTTAATTACAGGCAACGCAACAGGCATCACAACAAGTGTTTACGTCGGCAGGTAGTATAGTTGACAAAGTTGCTAACGTGGTAATTCAACCGTCTGACGTCGAGAAGCCGAACACTGAGTACATTGCTAGAGTAGTTAACCGCAAGAGACAACAACTTCGCCCAGAAGAACCTTCAGATCTTAACTTCGAGGTATGTGTACGTTTGATATAAAATCATGGTTTACCCTGTAATGACGCATGCTGTTAAAACAAGATCAACAAGGAAATGTGGCGTTCAAAGAACGCACCCGCCATACGACCATAGAACAACGATTCCAACATACTGTTTTAGCATCTCAACAATTATTTGATTTAGAAATGTCGGACCTTATTCGTTTGACAGATGGAAATTGAGATTTCTTGGCATTAGATTATAAAAGTTTCTGTTACTTTTCATTATTTCTAAAGATAACACATAGCTTTAGTTTCAGCAAATTTTTATGTTTTTGTTTAAGGTGAAAGAAGACTTTTTACCGCCTAACTTTTATCGGTGTGACGTGAGAGTTGGTGACAGCCGTCACCTGCTTTTTGCTAGCGACGATCAATTGGCCATACTGAAGAAAGCGAAGAGATGGTACCTCGATGGGACATTTAAGGTTGTGAGGGAACCTTTCACAAGCCTTTTTTCTATCCATGCCTTCGTAAGGAGCGGCGATTGTGCGAAACAACTACCTCTCGTTTACGTCCTCATGAGCAGCAGACGCACAAGAGACTACGTCGCAGTCCTTAAGGTACAACAGACTCAATATTAAAAATAGCCTATAAATTATTATTTAATTGAAAAAATATCCATATATCAATCGGGTTCCTGGACATGTACAAGATTAAAGGGTAATCAGAATAATAAAATAAAAACTTAAATTGCATTACGATATATACTCAATATCGGCTAGTTGTACAATATTTGTATCAGTGTACTGTATATGGGAATATTTGGAATGGAAATTTATTTTTTAGTTCGTATTTCAGAAACTGGGTCGTTTGCTACAGCGCGAAGTGAATGTGGTTGACTTCGTTGTTGATTTTGAGGCAGCCCTTTGGAATGCATTACGCCACGTTTTCGAGGATGCAGAAATCCACGGATGCAGTTTCCACTGGGGGCAAGCAGTATGGAGGAAAGTACAGGTAATGAAAACAATCGTATTTACTAAGTAAATCAAACAATATTAAAAAAAGTATAGAATTAAATAAAAACAAGATGATGTCACATCAAATATATACATATAAAAGAGCCATATGATTGAAATATACATATTTTTTTTTAAATATTTTGATATTGCCAATTGATTTTTATAGAACATATTCTGAAACTAATTGTATTTTTTTTATCTTTCTTGAACGTATTCTGAAACTAATTTTTTTTACAGGAAAAAGGCCTGTCTGCCGAGTATGTCAGTCACCGAGGGGCACACCGCTTCATCAGAAAACTTCTGTGTCTGCCATTCCTTCCTGCAGAACACATTGGTCCTGTGTTCGAGTCAATGGCAGACTTAGCTCCAGACCGTTTTGATGGACTGTTAGCCTACATTAGACGGACCTGGATCGACAATGATATGTGGCCAGTCCATTCTTGGTCGGTGTTTGGATTGAGCATCCGCACCAACAACGATGTTGAAGGTAAAATCACATTTTAAAATATTATGACAATATTATATATTTGAAATAGACTGTATACATGGTAGCAGTCATACCTCTCATACATAAAAAAATATGTCTTAGCCAAAATTGTAGCGAATTTTCGAAATGCATTCATGGACACATACATCGCCGCATTAAAGAGATAAATATATATCTATTAATAGTTGACCTGTCCCTATCTTATTGGTATTGTAATATACTTCTATTATTTTATAGGATGGCATAGAAGATTGAATGGGAGGGCTGGGGGAACGCCTCCATTTTACCTTTTGATCAAACTGCTCTACGATGAGGCCCAGGTAGCGGTGAGGAACTCGGAATTGATAAGTGAAGGAAGACTTCGCCGCTACCAGCGCAAAAAGTACACATATCTTCAGGGACAGACTCACCAGTTGTGGGATAAGTACAGGAATGGGGAGTTATCTTCAACAGGACTTTTGAGAGAGTTCGGCAACTTATACAAGCCCCAAGAGTAAAAAAAACAACAACAATGACATATGTGCATGGGAAAAAAAACAATGAAAGTGTGAAAGTGAAAGTGACTATATATACATGTATGACATAATATTGACATACGATATGATATTTTATCTTTGCATATAAAACATGTTTTTATAAATTAAATGTTATTGCTATTGATCGTCTTCGTGTTGTTCTTTTCTGTAATTTAATTTAATCAGACTTATGCATATATATATCCTTATTATAAGATGGAATTCCAAATATTCGCATACAAAAAGCGTCAAAATATGTCCAATTCAGTAATTTTATAATATATTATTTTAACAGTCTATAATGATTTGTGAACTATATGAAAAACAAGTAGTGATAAAATATAGGGGACGAGTTGGGGACGAGTTGACTAGAGGACGAGTTGTCCAGGGGACGAGTTGACCAAACAGGTGACGAGTTGACCAGAGGACGAGTTGACCAGAGGACGAGTTGACTTTGAATCGTCCGCTTAAGGTGTCCGCGATTTAGACTGCGCCCTTCAGAAAATGTGGGCAAACTGTGCGAAACAAATTGCGTGTTTTATGCGTCCATGAGGTTGATTTGACAAAATACTTCAATTTATAATTGTTAAATATAATTTGCAAATATATGGCAAAGTATCAGTTTCATTGCATTTTTATTTTTTTGAAAATGAACACAGAACTAGATTTACAGTAATCGGATATGTGGAAAATTCGGATATAGACTACGTGCTCAGGACTGTAACCTACTGTATTTTTTCATTATGATTTAAACAATTTTCTGAGGGAGCAATAGCCAATTATTTATAATTTCTTAACATTTACCACCTTAATATGGACCTAGACCAGCTATAATTGTACTACATGTTGAGATATTTGCAAAGACACTTGACAGATCCCTACTCTGAACCTACATTTGAATAACAATACATTTGACCACAAACATTCAAGTGTGTTCTTATGTGAACAAATATGTCGTGGTGAAATTCTTATTGCATCCGCCTCCGTGGTCGAAGGGTTAGTCAATGACTTCTAATCCAGTTACATGTACCCACGGATTTATATTACAAGGATCGGACACTTTCGTTTAGCTTAAAGTCCCGTCGCGCGCATGCGCGGAATCGGATAAAGGTGGACAGAATGAGATGGCGGAACGCGCGGAGTACGAAATATGACAGATTTTCACCGGAGTATGTGGTGTTATTTCAGCTTTGTGAAAAATTATACACATATGAATGTATTGATGTAGTATTATTTTGTGTCGCTAAAGTATTAATACATGAAAATATGCTGATAGAACGCTGCAACGCTTAGTTAAAAAGTACCTAATTTAAAAAATATTCGCCTATTGTTTAGGCATACTCTCTACACTTCGCCGCCCTTTTACTTCAAGCACGAATTATTACCGCGATTCAGAATAAGATAATTATTTTTTACATGGTTTAATGATGGCATTGCAAAAAAATGTTTCTTGATTGCTAAAAAACTTTTAAAGAAATTCATGTTTGAAATGTGTCTTAATTTCTGTGAATTATTTCCAAATGATTCGTACATTTTTTATTTGATTACCTGTATATTAGTATATATATAGTAAACATTCTACTAATAAGTGTATTAAATATATATTCAGACCATTCTAAACAAGCATTCCTATAGATGAATTCATTAGATTGGCAAGGAAGAAACTTTTATTGGCATAGAGAACAGCTGTTTTATAATATTATTTTTTATTTTGAAACATAATTTTTTCATGGTTATCCTTAACAATTCACGTCATATTATTTATTTATCACATGTTTACATTTCTTTTCATTATTTTTCAGAGAAAGGACTATACAAATTTAGTTGTATATTTTCAATTTCATTTATAAATGTTAATAAAGAAAATAGATTTACATTGTATTTATATATATCCTCTTCAGAATCATTTTCTTAACACATATATGCCATGGACTGTAGTTAAAGACCGCGCATATACAAAATATACATTCAAATTCTTATTGTTTTTGAAGATTGAGTGTTGCAATTATCACATGTAACCTGGTAATGAAAGTTTGGAAATAAAGTTTTTTTAATTATCACTTACCCCCCTTCAAAAGTAATTAAACTTGAAAGAAATTTAAGCGATGTGTAAAAATTATCAACAGTTACTCAAACTGTAAAGATTTTTATTGTTTTTCTAGCGTTACATTAAAAAGTATCATAAATATCTTTCTACAGGCATTCAAATAAAAAGAATAATTAAAATATACAGATTAAAATATACGAGTGACATTAAAAAGGCCGGAATCGAGAAAGCCACACGAGAGAACTTTACTGTTACGATGATTGTCTACTTCACTGCACCGACATTTGAAAACAGATTTACAAAAAATAATAATGATATAAATGATGAATGAAATTTAAATATTCTATGAATATGGCAATATTGACAATCTCGGCAATATTTTGTACTAGAAAATGAATAAATTTTCTTCACGTGTAAAGGCCGCAATACATTACCCGTAAAACAATTGTGCGTTAATAAATTTGACTACATAACCCAAAAAATCTTATATATTGCATCTTTGATCATCTGTTAATAACTTACATCGTCTTCTTTTTTATTTTGAAACTGAAAGTATTATGGTACCGTAATAATAAATTTCAAATACCTGCTTTTTACATAAAAAAAATGTAAATTTACCGCGGATTTCGTCAACTTAATTTTTTAACCGTCGTTGCGGACAGATAAACTGTACCTTTAAAAAATAAATTAGATATTTGAATTAAACAAGTATTTTTCTTCAAAATAAACCTTAAATTTCCAAAATCGGATAATAAATGGAAAAGTTATATGGTATTTTGTAAAGTAGGTATCCGTTGCGAACGGACATTTACGCTTAGCGCCGGTAGATTATCGATCGATGTACCTTTACCGGGCGCACGACAAGATATTAAAGCATTTATATAGGGTTAACTGGGAGTGTCCGATCCCTGTAATATAAATCCGTGATGTACCTCTCTGGCGTGGGTTTGATCCCCGGGAGATGCTTTGGTAGTTTAGCATGGAGGAAGGTAGTCTAGTACTGGTGAAACTGTCCAGGAACGATGTTTAGGAAACTACCAGCCTATATGACTGAAATACTTGGGGAAAGGCGTAAAATCAAACACTTATTGAGGTGAAATTCATCCACTAATCTCATTATCTGATAATTAGAATTAGACAGATCAGGAATCTATGTCAAAGGTGTATGTGTTCCAATATTTTCCCATAATGACAGACTTCCCGAAAGTTGAAAAAAACTGTCAGACATTCGGTCTGACAAACCATGAAAATCTGTCGGACCGAAACGAAATCTGTCGGACCAAATAAAATTGATCAAAATCAAAGAATAACGTGTGTTTGTATTTCTAAGATACTTTGTTTTTATTTTTTTCGCCGTAAAAATCGCACATTCCTTACAGCGCATTTTCATCTCCTCCCTATCATACATCAACAATTCACTGTCTTGCTTCTAATTTTCATTAAATTTTGTCTCAGGTCCTTCTTTTTATCCTTTTACTACTGTTCTGCACGTTCCTCTGACGTAGATTTTTGATTTTTCCAAGGTTTGGCACCTTTAGCGATGCCATTTTGTATACATGCGGCTTGGATAAAAGCCGGACAGTCGGACCGATCCGGAATAAAAACTCGTCGGACCTGATCAAAATTTATCGGACATGTCCGTCGGACCGACGTATTTCGGGAAGTCTGTAATGATCCTTTGGTCTATCCCTGCAGTAAATATTATTCTCCACAATCGTGGTCAATTTTATTATTTAAACTACCTCTCCATATTAACAACACAATATGCATTGTTTTACTCCATTTACAAATTCTTTCTACAAATTCAAATAGAGCTGTCATTGATTCAGTGCAAAGCATATCAACGATATATCGATATCAGATGACTAAAATCAACGATACACCGATATATCGATAATAACCTGTAATTACTTGTCTGTCATTCACTTTCATACTTGTTTAAATAATTTCAGTTAAAAACATGTTCTGTACAGTGTCTTGTCCACTGCATGATTTTTTCCAGACAATATTTTTTGTCACCATTGCTTTGAAATATTTCCACTATATAACAAAAGCATAATGTTAGACATAAATAACTGCTTCTGTATATGTTTTAGGTGAATTTTCATAATTTCTAGACATTTAATTAATAAGTCAAAAGTATCGATTTTTTTAAATGTGTATCGTTTATTGATCGGCAAAAAAATATCAACGATACATCGATATTGTCTCTGTTGATGACAGCTCTTAATTCAAATGTGGCTCTCTGCCATATTCAAATGTGGTGCTCTTTAAATATGGGCACCAGTATATTCCTGAATTGTTCTGACGATAGCCAGGCTTGTTCTCACATTCAAAGGCTAATTTTTAAGTGTGTCGCATTTGGATACCACAAAGCCTGGAGCTTTTAAAAAAAAATTCTGTGAAATGGCCTGAGCTCAGAATCTCTCCTTTATGACACAAGTTGTGATGAAGTTTAATTTAGAGCTGTCATCAATAGAGATGATATTGATGTATTGTTGATATTTTTCTGTTGATCAATATTCCATACACTTTTGTAAAAATCAATAATTTTGGTCAATTATTTTAAGGTCTATGAATTATGAAATTCGATCCAAAACATACAAAAGCAGTCTCAGACTAATTTAGCAGGTGGCCATGTCTAAAACCAAGCTGTTGTTACATTATAGACACATTTCTTATTTATGACTAGTAAAATTCTTTGTCCAGATAAGAAAAGAAACCATTGTATGTTTTGTTGAATGTTTGTTCTATTATTTTTAGGTGAATATTTGAAAATGAATGATGAACTTGTATTAGAGAGAGTAAAGGTAATTAACATATTATATAGTCAGATGATATTTGTTTGTTTAAAATAAAATATTTTAGAAGTGATATAGCCATGACCGAAAATAAAACAGCTGGTGAAAGAGTATAAGAATGTAACACCAGCTGCTGGTACTGACTGGAATATCTACATGTAGCTTGAGGGTAACTTAAGGCAGTAATGATTCTCCGCCAAGATTCTGCTAAACAGTCACCAGAGAGCTATATAATATTCCTGTCAGCCATTACATATCAATATTTTCATTTAGCACTTTATGCTTATAGTAAGGCATGAATTTGTAAATTCATTCATAATGGTCAAATGACATCATTCTAAGCATGAAATACATTCAATTTTCATAAAGAGTGGGGCAGTTTTTTCTATATTTTATGTATTTATGATAACATTTTTTTATTGTCAATTATTTGTCAATCACCAGTATAATAGCGAGTCTTTTTAAATATAATAATAATACTTATTCAACTCATCTTAACAGCGAAAAAGTAAGCATAGTGTCACTTTAATGTAAACATTTGATATTTCAGGTTGATTGCCATGGAGGTATATCAGGAAAGGTACGGACAGATGATGATGCCTATGATACACTGCTGGCAGAAATGCAGGAACACTTTACCAATGACCAGGTGGTGTCTGTCATGTCCTACAATCCTAGAGTTGTATGTATTTTTATATGCATTTTTTTATTAAATGCAAATAATAGATTTTAAATATATATATATATAAATCTAATGATTGTAATGGTTAGATCCAAGTAACATAAAACATTAGTGCAGATTGAAAAAAAGGCTCTAGCTTGATAGGGGTAAGTTATTGTATTTAAAATATATATTTCGTAAATCTATAAAACTTGAAGTATTTGCTTATCATTACAAGGTGCAGTTGTTCGACAAGGGTCCTAATCCTTAAAGCAATACTGTTGGAGTTATTCCCCTTTTTAACCAAGAATTCTTAACGGATGAGCATTAACAACCCATGCAGCGCTCTAGTTTTTCTACAACTTGTGACTTTGGTGCTTTAGGTCGCTCATAAAATCAAAGCAAATAAGGCGCTGAATTTGTTTGGGTCTCAGAATGTCAGAAAGCTGAAGGTTGTGTGATTATAAACCAATTTGTTTTTGTATAGTGCCACCAATGCTTTCCAGTGTTTTAACTGTAGTAAATTAGCTTTAAGACTAATTGCAACACTGATAGTCAATTCCATGGTTATTTGACTTAAAAAATTGAAAAGAAAAATTAGTTGTCTCAACTGGGATTTGAACTCCAGACCTCTCGATTCATAAGCGAGCCTATGAACCCCTCGGCCATGGTGAAGTTATATGTTAACGACCAGAAGAAAGCCATATTTTTTCTAAATTAGGGTTTGCAACTCTTATTATTTCGACGCCAAACATGTTGTTTAACACAGATGTCTTACAGTAAGCATGTATATCTATAAAGAATGAAAAAATATTAGAAATCTTCGACCATTCGGGAACTACTTTGCTTGAAAATTAATGCGCCTGTCATTTGACAATCTTTACGCATTGATCTCCCTTGATTTTTTCGGCGTTAGTGTACATATAAAGGGAAGTAACCGCTTCAAAAAAAGCGGACTACTTTAGGCATTTGCAATTAACAGCATTAGACTCTGAAATTTCGCTACCATTATTTAAAAATTTAAAAATCACAGTTTTACTTCTTATATTAGCACGATATGGTAAAGAAATTTAATATCAGACCACTTCTGCTAGATCCTGTGTCAGCTTCTATAAGTCATATGTTACATAATGTTTTCAGGGTGAATTATGTGCAGGTATACTAAAAAACCATTGGTACAGAGTGAAAGTAATCAGTAAGCTGAGTGGAGGCAGACATGGTTATATAGTTGCGTAAGTATTTAAAGTGATAACACTGGTCAAAATCAATGCAAATGTAAAGTCTATAAATAACCATTTGTTTAATAAACATACAATTATTGCATATTTTAAAAGAAATTTTACTTGGATGAATGAAAAATAATAGATATTGATGGATAGAATTCCCCAAAATATTTTATTGTCAACAGGTTTATTTACTTTCTTATAGGTGCTGTTTTGTGGATGAAGGACTAGAAAGTACCATTCCAATATCAGGGTATGTAGGGCTGTACATTCTGTGGAGTAATTATTTGTAATGTGCAGTGAAAAAACTTATTAAAAACGTGAACATGCTCTGTGTGCTTAGTATACAGTTCATATTATGGTGCGACTTTCAGCTCAATTTGATTAGTTCTTTTTTCTGTTTTTTTTTATGCCAATTTTAACACATTTGGCCATGTCTCTGCTGCCGATTCACCTAACCAACTTTTCTGCAAACCTAACCATTAATTACTAATTTCTTTGCGAGTGACTACTAATCTCTCATGAGTAGATATTAAGATCAGTTGACACAGAGAATTAATGCAGGAGGATCGAACCAGCACTAGATTACTTATCTGATGCTCTTGCAATTTAGTTAAGCAGGTGGACAATTACAATACAATACAATACAATACTAACACATGTGCTTTAATTCCAGGTTGAAACACCTACCTCCCAAGTATTGTGAACTGCCATTCCAAGTGAAGAATGTTCATCTGCATGATATTCAACCTTACTCCATGAAGATTTCACCAGAAGATTTAAGTGTTTACCAGGGGTTAGTTGTACATTGTGAACCATTCTATTTCCTTTGATTCATATTGCTTCAGTTTTTGGAACTGTTTTTTCATAAAATATTCCCCATAAGTCAATGTTTCATTCTCTAGAAGTACATAAAATATCTGGTAAAATTGTTTTTATTTTAGCCTTGACTATTGATAATGTACATATCCTGCTTTGAATTTGTAATTTGTCATTTTAACTTGTCTGTGTCAAAGAAAAAGTCGGAGCTGGTATGATTTTATTTGTTCTGATTTCAGACCAAAGAGATTCTGGGACGAGGCAGCAGTAAAGTATATCAGTGACAACATTGAAGGTAATTTTATACAGATTTAATTCATCCAGTTTAGCTTTTGAAATCATCAGTGTGATATCATTCATGTTCATTTATAAATGCTGCTACGTAATTGGATAAATTTGGAGTTTTACTGTAAAATTGGAAAAAGAAGGGGACTAAATAAATGTTCTATGAATCATTGAAATAAGGAGACAATGTTTCTACTTTATTTAGTGAAATTGTTCAGAATTACAATTTTTTCTTGTTTTTATTTTAGCTGCTACAGAGGTTAGATGCAGCGTTATGGAGACATATTTAGACGGCACTCTGTCTGTACGAATGTTCCTTGGAACACGACGTGGCGGCCTCATCTGCTTAAATGAATTACTTGTGACAGAAAATTATGCTACATGGACTGATAGACAAGAAGGTGAAGTGTTGTGAAGCTGTATTTATTAGTTTGGCTATTTGAAGAATAGGGAGAGCTTTTGTACTCACCCAGGCATCAGCATCACACTTGGTTAAATTTTTGCATGCAAGTTGGTATCTCTGAAACTACTGAATAGAGTGGGTTGAAACTTTGCACACTTATTTGAGTGCATAAAAAGGAGGTCACTGTCAAAGGCCTATAAGTTTGACATGGATTTTGACGGAATAATGGTCCTTTTTGAACTTTGGAAATTCTACATTATCCAGGTTCTTGTTGATCAAGCTCTGAGAATAGGTCAAGCACAATGTCCTTTCTACAGCTCTTGATTTTTTCATCCCTATTCAATAAGTTATTGTCTCACAAGACTTTTAACTGTGCTGGGCAATTTATTATTGTTATATTGAAATACTTAGTTAATATGATTCTGCATTGTCAGCCATGTTGTAATTTCAATAAGTGGGTCAAAATAAAAGTATGAAATTTGGCCTTCTTTCACTATGGACCCACTTACTGAAAATCAAATATGGCTGACAATGCTGAATCACCTTAATTTGAAAATGGACAGTTCCAAATTTAAATCAGGACCAGTCTATTACAATTATGCAGCAGGGTGAGTGTTAAGTAAGTTTATTTTTACAAAATAACATGTAGTGTATAATTTACTTTTTTGTAGTTGCTAACCTGTAAATTAACATGTAGATTATGATAAAAATCAGGTTCAAATATTGATATTAGTGTATATTGATTTTTCAGAAAAGCAAAGCGTCGGCCCCCAGACAGCTGAAAGTCTTACTGCAGATATTCAGAGAGTGTTCCGAAAGAGACAAAATTCAAATAGACAGATAACCAATGAAATGACACGTAAATCAGATACTGAATATGCAAGTACAACATCTTTTCCTGATGAGAGAGGGGATTTTAGCGACAGATTAAGTGACTATCATGACCGGTTCAGCGAATATAACGACCGGTACAGTGATTATAATGATAATCAGGGTATATCTGCAATCTCCCATAGAAGGTTTCATCGTACACCTAAAAAAACATTGACTGATTTGGACCAAGAAAGTGACCTTAAAAGGATAGGATTAAGCAAGAGTCGGAATGGTTTAAACGGTTTCTCCAACACACATGTGGATATTGATAGCCAGACAGATGATTCTGAGAAACAAGTTCAGGTAGGAAATTCATATGTTAAAGACGTGTAAGAATTTTTTATATTGGAATAAAATACTGGATATTAACATTTAATGTAGATTAATTATCCCCCGCCGATGGAATCGGGAGGGGGATATAGTTTTGGCGTTGTCTGTCTGTCCGTATGTCTGTCCATCCGTCCATCCCAATTTGGTTTCCGGAGTAGTTCTCTTCGACTACTGGCTGGAATTCAACGAAACATTATGGGAATGTTGATCAGCATGTGAAGTTGTGCACCTAGGTATTTTCTTCTGGATATTTTTAGTATTTTTAGAGTTATTGCCCTTGACTTAGTAAACGTCCGAATTTCGTTTCCGGAGTAGTTCTCTGCAACTAATGGCTGGAATTCAACGAAACTTTATGGGAATGTTGATCAGCATGTGAAGTTGTGCACCTAGGTATTTTTGTCTGGATATTTTTAGTATTTTTAGAGTAGTTGCCCTTGACTTAGTAAAACGTCCGAATTTCGTTTCCGGAGTAGTTCTCTGCAACTAATGGCTGGAATTCAACGAAACTTTATGGGAATGTTGATCAGCATGTGAAGTTGTGCACCTGGGTATTTTCGTCTGGATATTTTTAGTATTTTTAGAGTTATTGCCCTTGACTTAGTAAAAAATTTTAATTTTCAACTTGTGTCGCATGTAACTCAAGAAGTATTTGTTCTAGAGTCATGAAACTTTACAGGAATGTTGATCAGTATGTGTAGTTGTGCACCTGGGTATTTTCGTCCGGATATTTTTACTATTTTTAGAGCTATGGCCCTTGACTTAGTAAAATTTTGCAATTTTCAACTTGTGTCGCAAGTAACTCAAAAAGTATTTGACCTAAAGTCATGATACTTTACAGGAATGTTGATCAGCATGTGTAGTTGTGCACCTGGGTATTTTCGTCTGGATTTATTTAGTATTTTTAGCTCACCTGTCACAAAGTGACAGGGTGAGCTTTTGTGATCGCTTTTCGTCCGTCCGTTGTCCGTCTGTCCGTCGTTCGTCCGTAAACTTTTACTTTAAATGACATCTCCTCATAAATGACTAAGCCAATTTCATACAATCTTCACAGGAATGTTCCATTGGTGGTCACCTTTAAAAATTGTTCTAAGAATTTAATTCCATGCAGAACTCTGGTTGCCATGGCAACCGAAAGAAAACACTTTAAATATCTTCTTTTAAAAAACCCTAAGAGCTAGAGCTTAGATATTTAGCATGAAACATCTTCTAGTGAGTGTCTACAAAGTTTGTTCAAATAAAAGCCCTGGGGTCAAAATTGGCCCCGCCCCAGGGGGTCATTGATTTTCCCTATATGCATAAAGTAAAAACTTAAAAAATCTTCTTTTAAAGAACTCAAAGAGCTACAGCTAAGATATTTAGCATGAAACATGTTCTAATGGATGTCTACCAAGTTTGTTCAAATAAAAGCCCTGGGGTCAAAATTGGCCCCGCCCCGGGGGTCATTGATTTTCCTAATATGTGTATAGCAAAAACTTAAAAAAAATCTTCTTTGAAAAAACCCAAATAGCTAGAGTTTAGATATTAAGCATGAAACATCTTCTAGTGAGTGTTTACCAAGTTTGTTCAAATAAAAACTCTGGGGTCAAAACTGGCCCGCCCCGGGGGTCATTGATTTTCCTTATATGTGTATAGCAAAAACTTGAAAATCTTCTTTGAAAAAACCCAAATAGCTTGAGTTTAGATATTATACATGAAACATCTTTAAGTAAATATCTACAAAGTTTGTTCAAATAAAAGCCCGGGGGTCAAAACTGGCCCTGCCCCAGGGGTGTCATTGTTTTTAACTTTATGTGTATAGTAAAAACTCAAAAAATCTTCTTTTAAAAAACCCAATGAGCTAGAACTTAGATGTTTAGCATGAAACATCTTCTTATGGGTGTCTACCAAGTCTGTTTAAATAAAATCCCTTGGGTGAAAATTGGCCCGGGGGGGGGGGGGGGGGGGGGGGGGGCTATATACAGATGAGCGACCTCAGAGGGCCATCATGGCCCTCTTGTTACATTTTGAACATTGTTAGGGTCATAACTCAGAAGCCATAAGAGATATCAACAAGAAACTGTGTAGGTTGATAGATAGCATTGAATAGAAGTGCAGTGCAAAGAACAATAACTCTGCCTTGCCTAATTGTGGAATTATTGCACTTTGAACTTTTTCCAGGGACATAACTTTAATTGTACTTTCCTGTGTCCAAAACCTATTCGGGGAGCATCACCTGGCTCAAACTGGGCTCTTGTCAAATCTGTGTTACCACATTGCATAGATTTCTAAAAAAATGGTTTACTCTTAGTATGTATAAACAGATCAATCAGTGTCTTGTATTTCCATATTGTTTGGACTTGTAACGTAAATCTGGAGAGAAAAAAACAGTTATGCTTAAAATCAACATCAGGTATTTTTTTTTCACTAAGTTGGCAGATATATCATGTTATAAATGAATTTCTTTCTATTGAAATAGTAATTAAAAATTATTTCTGTACGTTTTTTAAAGGGACAGAATCTTGGATCATTTGGTAGAGGTCTGTTATATAATTCAGTACACGACCCAGGCATACACAGTGACAATACCTCAGATAGGCAAAGAATGAGAGGGGTAAGGGGAAGCTACTCCTCTGGTGATGAAAATGTCAGAAAAGAAATTGAACGCAGACGACAAATTATATTGAATCAGCATTATGGACTTACATTAGCAGATGACAGTTTATTGAATGATCAAATCAATCAGTCGAAGGAAGGAATGAAATCTCCGGAAATTATGAATAGCATAAACAAAAATGGATGTACTTTAGTTAAAGGCAGAGGCATTCCATCTCCTTCCTATGGGAGAGGTGCTATGTTGACCTCTGACCTAGGAGGAAAGTTGAAATCGCAGCGAAGTGCCAGCATGTGTTCAGATACCTCGTCAAATGATGGTGCTCCTAGAGGAAGGGGTGCTATTCTCTTAACTCATATTTCTAGTCAACAATCTATGCAATCAGACAGAATAAGTCCGAGTGAAACAAGGGATGTTAGTGATAATGAAAGTATTCAGGGAGTCAGATCTCGTGTAGAGTCCTTGTCAAGTAAGATAAGATCTGTAAGTGAGATTGATTCATGCACCGAAAGTGACAGAGATTCGTTATCGAGGAATGAAAGAAGGCGACAAGCAAAACTGAGTTCTGCTAATACAAACCCTTACAGTGACTCAAACAATAGTGCAATTCATAGTAGTAGTAGAAATTTATCGCAAATAAGTAGGAATAATGCAAGCGAGGTATCAAAGTCATTAAAAAATCACGCATCTAAAACTTCTAGTTTGCAAACTAGCAGGGGAGGTAACCCATGTGATATGTCATCAGGTAATGAATCTTCAGCAACAGAAGTTAGCATTGTTGCAGCATCATTGAGAGGTCAGGGCGAGTTCAAGAGAGGTCGTCTTCCGAGAGATGCAGGCTCAAATTTAAATCCGAGTAGAAGGTAGGTGATTGCAAAACATTCAGAATCAGTAAATCACAATTTTTCTAAAAATAAGAAATTATTACACTATTCTAGATGATCATTTCAATCAATTGGCAATTATTTTATGTTTTCATTAGCTATCCTGTAAAACAATAGTGCAGTAAAAAGTTAATGTTATAATTCAAGTGTGATAATTTTAATTTATTGTGATCTTTTAAAAGATATCCATCGGCATGGCAAATAACTCTGATAGTACAGGAAAAGTTCTTTTTAAACTTTTTTTATCTCAAACACTGTACTTTGGGGCTGTACATGAAGCTTATTTTCAGTTGTTCCTGTACTTTACATTAGAATACATTGATTAAAGGTCATAAGTGTTTTTTGTTATATGGGTACTAGTATATAATATTTTAATGGAACATGTTTTGGTGGGTCCGTGACCAAGTGGTAAAGGTTGTTGACTTCAAACCACTTGCCCATCAATGCAGTTGGTTCGTATCCCAACAGGGACTTTGGATTCTTTCATATGAGGGAGCTATTAAGCTAGCTTACAGAATGTCGTGGTTCTTTTGCCAGTTTGCGTCTGAATTGTGCTCGAAATGGCACCTGAGGTCTTCCTCCACCAGTAAAGCTGGAAAGTCGCCAAAAACCAAACCCCAAAAAACAAGTTTTTTTTCTGATTTTTATGCTCCCCGGCATATAGTGATTGAACCGTCCGTCCGTCTGTTCGTACGAGGTTACCCTTGAACGGCAAGTTGGATTTTTCTTAAGTTCTACCTGTACCAATGGCTTCTAGTGTTGTCCCGATTGTCTCTGAAAATTGATAACTAATCGGACCACCCCATAATCGGCAACAATCGATAGTCCTTTTTAAAAATCGATTATTTTAATGTTCTACCATCGCTGAATTGCCTATGGCGTAACTTTTTTACATGCAGTCAAAAAGAAGTTTCCTGACCGAATCTCTTTAATTCAAGACAATTTTAAAGTATTTTTTTTGTATTCAAAACCTATTTAACATGGTTAATACTACTTTAGAAAATTATAGTGTGTAGTAACATAACATTTTAAACTTATATATCTACTGTAGTTAAATTAGTGATCTACAATACTACTCATTGATATTTTGACCTGTTGACTAGTACTAATAATGACAAAAATTGACTGTCACAAAGTAGTATTAGGTATTTGTGTTGTTTGTTATTGAATTCAAAGAGCAAATCATACTAAAGAAAAAAGGGCCATTATAAGTGTGAAACTCGATGGTACTATTGGCAGACAATTGAGATGTGGTGGTCCAATTATCGATAGTGACTTTTGAGTCCGATACCCAACACTAATGGCTTCTAAGTTTACACACTTACTAATCAATACAAAGTGCATGATCTGGGCAAGTTACATAACTCTGGCTTTCATATTTACCAAGTTATTGCCCTTTTCAGCACTTCAGCGCTTAGAAAATGAATAATGGTTAACATAAAACGGCAAGTTGGAAATATCTTAAGTTCTATCTATACTAATGGCTTTATAATTTCCACACTTACTTATCAATACAAAGTACATGATATTGCCAAGTTATATAACTGTGTCATCCATATTTCCCAGTTATTTCCCTTTTTATACGCCCGTTTGAAAAACGGGACGTATTATGGGAACGCCCCTGGCGGGCGGTCGGTCGGGCGGACGGCGTCCAATTTTGTCCGGAGCATATCTCCTACACGCATGGAGGGATTTTAATGAAATTTCATAGAAATGTTCACCATTATGAGGAACCATGTCACGCATATGAACTAGGTCTCTAGGTCAAAGGTCAAGGTCACACTTAGAGCTCATTGAAAAATGCTTGTCCGGAGCAAAACTTCCACATGCATAGAGGGATTTCAATATAACTTGGCACAAATGTTCACCATTGTGAGGCGGAGTGTCGCGCACAAAATTCAGGTCGCTGCAGCCAAGGTCAAGGTCACACATAGAGGTCAAAGTTTAGATAAAAATATGAAGATGTGTATAGGGACGATTTAATCATCATTTATTGAGGGATTGTAACACAAATGGTCATTATCATGACTACGGCTGTGACACATGTACTTTAGGTCAATATATGCAAGGTCAAGGTCACTAAAGATGGTGAAATATCCAGATTTTGTCTGGAGCATATCTCCTACATGTATGGAAGAATTTTTATAATACTTTATGGAAATGTTCACCACCATGATATGTATTGCTCCATGCATGATCCAGGTCAAAGGTCAAGGTCACACTTAGAGCTCATTGAAAAATGCTTGTCCGGAGCAAAACTTCTACATTCATAGGGGGATTTCAATATAACTTGGCACAAATGTTCACCATTGTGAGGCTGAGTGTCGCACGCAAAATTCAGATCCCTTCGACCAAAGTCAAGGTTACACATAGAGGTCAAAGTTCAGATAAAAATTTGAAGATGTGTATAGGGACCATTTAGTCATCATTTATTGATGGATTGTAGCACAAATGGTAACTATCATGACTACAGGTGTGACACATTTAATTTAGGTTAATATTTGCAAGGTCAAGGTCACTGAAGATGATTAGATATCCAGATGTTGTCCGGAGCATATTTTCTACATGCATGGAGGAATTTTAATGTTACTTTATAGAATTGTTCACCACCATGAGACGTAGTGCCCTGCACATGAACCAAGTCTCTGGTCAAAGGTGAAGGTCACAGTTAGAGCTCATAGAAAAAAGCTTGTCTGGAGCAAAACTTCTACATGCATAGAGGGATTTCAATATAATTTGGCACAAATGTTCATCATTGTGAGACTGAGTGCCGTGCATAAAATTCAGGTCCCTGCGACCAAGGTCAAGGTCACACATCCTGTGCATATCTTCCCTACTGATTTGTTTTAAGGTTCATTTAACAACACAGTGCCAAGAATAAAAACTTGCTTGCTGGATAACACTTATCCATAATGCCCCCATCTCCATCTAAAGCTTTCGTAAACGGGCGTATTTTGTGACTATGGCACCCTTGTTTCACTTTGAAAATAGGGCCTTGTCTGGTTAACCTATTTCGGCAAGTTGGATTTATCTTAAACTTCTCCTAATTGCTTAATTTCTTTAATGATATCTTTCATATTTAGTAGGTGGATACCTTTGATGGTCCTCTACTTTTTTGTGGAGTAAGCGGTCTCTAGCGTCAAGGTCAAGGTTACTGGTTTAAAAAATAAATATTTAAAATTTAAAAAAATGCTAAAAATAGGTTTTTACACATTTGCTCATACAGCCTTTATCAAGTGACAGATATATTTTATATTTGGTAGGAAGATAACTTGCATGGTATTCATCCTTTTGATTGGGGTAGGGATACATGTAAGTGGGTTAAGGTCACTTGTGCTAAAAATAGATTTTTACACTTTTGCCCATACAGCTTTTATTTATTGACAGATGTATTTCATATTTGGTAGGAAGATAACTTACATAGTATTCTTCCTTTTGATGAAGTAAGGGGTCAGTTGGTCAAGGTCACCAGTGCTAAAAATAGATTTTTACACTTTTGCCCATACAGCCTTTATTTATTGACAGATGTATTTCATATTTGGTAGAAAGATAACTTACATGGTATTCTTCTTTTGGATAGAGTTAGGGGTCAGTTTGGTTAAGGTCATCAGTGCTCAAAATAGATTTTTACACTTTTGCCCATACAGCCTTTATTTATTGGCAGATGTATTTCATATTTGGTAGGAAGATAACTTACATGGTATTCTTCTTTTGGATAGAGTTAGGGGTCAGTTTGGTTAAGGTCACCAGTGCTCAAAATAGATTTTTACACTTTTGCCCATACAGCCTTTATTTAATGACAGATGTATTTCATATTTGGTAGGAAGATAACTTGCATGAAGTTGAATATTTTTCAACTTCACAAGTCAGAGCAATGACTTGGCAACTTATATTTCTCACAATTACAAAATGCCATGCCTTTATCAAGCTATATAACTTGTGTTTACAATTTTTTGGCAATTTTTCTGTCCATTACTTACTTACATAGTATTCTTCCTTTTGATGAAGTAAGGGGTCAGTTGGTCAAGGTCACCAGTGCTAAAAATAGATTTTTACACTTTTGCCCATACAGCCTTTATTTATTGACAGATGTATTTCATATTTGGTAGAAAGATAACTTACATGGTATTCTTCTTTTGGATAGAGTTAGGGGTCAGTTGGGTTAAGGTCATCAGTGCTGAAAATAGATTTTTACACTTTTGCCCATACAGCCTTTATTTATTGGCAGATGTATTTCATATTTGGTAGGAAGATAACTTACATGGTATTCTTTTTTTGGATAGAGTTAGGGGTCAGTTTGGTTAAGGTCACCAGTGCTCAAAATAGATTTTTACACTTTTGGACCCATACAGCCTTTATTTAATGACAGATGTATTTCATATTTGGTAGGAAGATAACTTGCATGAAGTTGAATATTTTTCAACTTCACAAGTCAGAGCAATGACTTGGCAACTTATATTTCTCACAATTACAAAATGCCATGACTTTATCAAGCTATATAACTTGTGTTTACAATTTTTTGGCAATTTTTCTGTCCATTACTGAGTGAATGGGTAAACATTTTTGGAAATATTGCTACTGACAAGAATCTGAGTCGGGGGCATTTGTGTTTAAACACGTTCTTGTTTGTTTTTTTTTGTTTTTTTTTTAAGTCAGATGTTACCTTATTGTATATGTATAATTTTCTGCAAGTGAAAGGCATTTTGATATTAAAAAGTCATTCACATAATTATAAAAAAAATACATGAATATTTTAGTCTTGGTATCTCATATTGGACAGTAATTATGTCCAATTCACAAATGTAGATGCAAAAATCAGGCCAGCCTGACCAATCTGCATTGTTGGCCGCTACCAGCCAGCATATTTGTTATTCTGGTTTCTTAGATTATTAGTGGTGTGGGGAAGTGCATTTAATAATGATAATAATCTGTATGAATATTTTAAGGTCAGACAGTGATGTTACCTCAACAAGACTCCAGCAGCAGATGCCTTCATGCATAAGTCCTGTCAACCAGTCTCAACACAAGTGTCCTAGAACCATAGACTCGACTGATTCTCATCATATTCTCCAAACCCAATCCACAAACTTGACTGGATCCAGATCAAATGTAGACAACCAGTCACATATTAGACAATCTATTTCTTCAGATTTGACTGGTTCGCGATCAAGTTTGATTAACCAATTAGAAACAAGACAGACTGTATCCAGTGATCAGACTGGTTCTGTAAATACCAGTAATGATCAAAAGAAAACCAGTCCAAATAAATTACAAATGTTTCTGTCAAGTGTGTCTGGTGAAAATAGCCAAAAGCAGACGACAGATAGACTGATGAATAATTTGTCATTGAAAGAATCAAAACCTGCTGTAATTGATAGTGCCATGGTTACAAAAAGGTAATTTTATTTTAGGTACACAGTTTAGTAATTTTACTTAAACTCTTATTGAATTTTTTGGTAAATGAATATCTTTTCGAAAAAAAATGTGTTGGTGAGACCACTTCTTGAGTTATCAGTAGTGTTAGTATGGTTAAGAAATACGATTATGTCTCTAGTAGTACTAAGATAAACAGTCCTTAAGTTGTTATATAATCTTGATAAATTTTTGCCAAAAAAACCATCTCTTTCGTTTAATGTATAAGTTTGTAAAATAAAAACATTGTTTACAAGTATAGGTTAGTGTTTAATAATATGTATTAACAAAAATAATTGGTCAAGCCTGCCGCAGGCAGATGACCAATTATTTTTTGTTAATGCATATTATTAAACATTAACCTATTTAATGATCAACATTATTTTTTTCAACCAAAAACAAGGCATTGCTCTAAATCACTGATAGCTCTGCCCTTTCACTCTACAAGATGTCAACACCTTGTCAAGTTTCTAACATGTCACATTTAGATAAGCTAATCTTTCAACATATAATCAGGCCCATTTTTTACTGAAATGTCACAGAATTTATACCGACTATCAATTGTTTCTATAAAATATGTGGAATAAAACAGCCAGGAAAATGATGCAATTAGATAAAAACAATGGAGTTAATAAAATGTGTACATCCTTTTAAATGTGAGAAAAATACATTAGAGATTATGAATTGATACAAATTCGTTATTGGCTTCAAGTTATTCACTGATTGGACAAAAAATAATGTGATCATTAAGAGTGATTGGGATGATTTGATTTTATGAGTTTTCTGTTGAGTAAGTATGCAACATTTTGTTTTCAATATCATTTTGCTTTTACATTGTTCTTGTCTGTCAGCATCATCAGAAACTTTGCCATTACCACTCTCAATATCCTCAATGAGCTTGTTGATCTTCCAGCAGTCTGAACAAAGCCAACCATTGTTATGGGGAAATTTTCAAAATGAACATAGTGAATATTAGTGGTTCTTCTTAGGTGCCTGTTGGTTCCTGAAATAATGCACAAGAGTGATATTCTTCCTCCAGTAAAGCTTGAAAGTCACCATATGACCTATATTGTGTTGGTTTGACATAAAACCCAACCAAAAAAAAAGCAATCTTTCTTGTACAGCTTTTTAGCTCACCTGAGCTTGCTCAGGGTGAGCTATTAGGATCGGTGAATGTCCGTTGTCCGTCGTCCGTCGTAGTCGTACGTCCACAATTGCTTGTGAACACTCTAGCGGTCACATTTTTGAACCAATCATCATCAAACTTTGTCAGGATGCTTGTTTAGTCAATTGCTTGGATGAGTTCGAACATGGGTCATCTCCGATGAAAATCTAGGTCACAGGAGCTATAAATAGAAAAACCTTGTGAACACTCTAGCGGTCACATTTTTGAACCAATCATCATCAAACTTGGTCAGAATGCTTGTTCTAGTCAATTGCTTGGATGAGTTCGAACATGGGTCATCTCTGATAAAAAACTAGGTCACAGGAGCTAAAAATAGAAAAACCTGGTGAACACTCTAGTGGTCACATTTTTGACCCAATCATCATCAAACTTGGTCAGAATGCTTCTCTAGTTGATAGCTCAGATGAGTTCGAACATGGGTTATCTTGGATGAAAAAGTAGGTCACCGGAGCTAAAAATAGAAAAAACCTTGTTAACACTCTAGCGGTCACATTTTTGCATCAGTCATCATCAAACTTGGTCAAGATGCTTGTCTAGGTGAAAGCTCGGATGAGTTTGAACATGGGTCATCTCGGATGAAAAACTAGGTCACAGGAGCTAAAAAATAGAAAAACCATGTTAACACGCTAGAGGTCACAATTTTGCATCAATCATCATCAAACTTGGTCAGGATGCTTGTCTAGGTGATAGCTCTGATGAGTTCGAACATGGGTCATCTCGGATGAAAAAGTAGGTCACAGGAGCTAAAAAATAGAAAAACCTTGTTAACACTCTAGCGGTCACATTTTTGCATCAATCATCATCAAACTTGATCAAGATGCTTGTCTTGGTGATAGCTCAGATGAGTTCGAACATGGGTCATCTCGGATGAAAACTAGGTCACAGGAGCTAAAAATAGAAAAACCTTGTTAACACTCTAGTGGTCACAATTTTGACTCAATTGTCATCAAACTTGGTCAAGAAACTTGTCTAGGTCATTGCTGGGAATAAATTGAACATGGGTCATCTCGGATGAAAAAGTAGGTCACCGGAGCTAAAAATCTAACACTCTAGTGGCTACTGTTGTTATCCAAATATTCTGTTAATTGGTCTGAAAGTTTGTTTTGATGATTTCTAAGTCAAGTTCGAACATGGGTCATCTTGGATGAAAAACTAGGTCACACCGCCCAAATATGGAAAAACCTTGTTAACATTCTAGTGGTCACATTTTCGACTCAATTATCATCAAACTTGGTCAGGATGCTTGTCTAGGTAATTGCTTGGATGAGTTCGAAATCGCATGTGGAACTAGGTCACCGGAGTTAAAAATAAAAAAATCTTGTTAACACTGTAGTTGCTACTGTTTTGATCCAAGTATCCTGGAAATTGGTCTGAAAGTTTGTTTTGATGATTTCTAGGTCAAGTTTGAATATGTGTCACCTGGGTAAAAAACTAAGTCGCACTGCTCAAATATGGATAATCCTTGTTAACACTGTAGTGGTCACATTTTTGACTCACCTGTCATGAGACTTGGTCAGAATGCTTGTCTAGGTAATTGTTTGGATGAGTTTGATAAGTCAGGTGAGCGATCTAGGGCCATCATGGCCCTCTTGTTTGTGATCATGATTACTTGTAATATTTGAAGCAAATATTTTATTTGTTTCAGATTTGAAGACAATTCTGTACATACTGCTGCCTTTACCGAGGCCAGATCTAAAATGATTGGTGAGATGGCAGGAAAAAGGTTGATATTTTTATAATTTTACTGTTCTATTTTTAGTTTCTTATTTAATACCTTTTTCTTATCATGTTCCAGTCATAAAAAAAAAACCTGTCCAAGACCATTTGCTTTTAGAACTAGAAATGTTTGTGATTTATTTGCCTTAATATGAAGTAGGAGTTTGATCAATTGTCTTATTTTAAGGATAACTGACACTGAGAATACAATCTACTATATTTGTATTGGTGTCACATTGAAAAATACTTGTTCATGTTATAAAAATTTACTATAAATAGTGAAACAAAAGCTTTGGAATTAAGACAATTTGGTCTGTGTTTATTTCAATACTGCTCCCCAGCATTTCTTTACTGATAAATTTGAGTTTTTAATCTGAAAGGTGTTGTTGTTTTTTTGTAAGGAAAAAGCATAATTTGAGCAACCATGTGCAGAGACTTTTTTGGCCTAAATCTATACCAATAGTGAATTGTTTCCACTTACAAGCAGTTACAATGCTTATATCAAGGAAAGACAACAAATTAAATGTTTCAACTCCATTATTAATGAAGACTTAGTGTATTCCACTAACATAAATCCAGCCTGCATATTTGTACAGTCTGACAGGACTCTTCAATTTTAGCATTTTGAACCCTTCAGATACAAATAGACTTTTCCAATTTCAAAACAGGTCAAGTCTATTACACAAATACAGCAGGGGAGATGGCATTGTTTTTAATTACAAATGTATATATCGAGGAAAATAAAATTACTGGTATTTAAAACAGGTTCAAAGTCTAACTTTTAAAAGTATTTTTTTTCAGAATTTTAACAAATCTAACTCAAGGTTCTACAAGAAGTACAACAAGAACAACTTCACAGGTAAATGCATATATGAATTGTATTGTAAGGTATTGATTAATTAAATATTGCTGAAATGAGTTATTTTTAGATCCAGACTGACAATACTATATTTATACTTTTGTTCTATAAATAGATACAAACAGAAAGTAGAGTATTTTTTTTGAAAAATAGAAATGAGATAAAACAATGTTTAATTTTAAGTGAAAATAATTTTGAAAAATACATAGTATCACCATTAAATAGTAAACTAGTGCCCTGAAATACACAAATGAAATATGTATATTCTTATTTAAGATTTTAAATATAGAGCTAAAAAGACTAAGATGGATATTATAATATGATAGTGCATTGTGTATTTAATGCTACCTACAGGAATCTGGATTTGTGACAATGTGTCATGAAGTTTTGGTACACGGCAGCCGTCCACCAAGGCCAGTATATAAACTGAAGTCTGCTAGATTCACAGAACATGTGGAAATGGTAAATAATTCTTATATATTGTCTTTTATTACATTTACTTTATTGTGTTCATGTTAGTGTAATATTTATTTTAATTATGTGTTATTTTCTGAAAAAAAAATGTATAAGAAAGAGGATAAAGAGATACAGTGTTCCCTAACATGGGAAAAAGATATAGTGTACCTTAAAATTTTCTCCATTGCATCTTTTTTCAAGGTTTGATTGCTGTCTGATAAAGATTTTTCCTATTTGTATTACTTTAATCTGACTTTATGATAATTTGTTTTTAACTTTATACCGGCATATTTCAAAGACTAACAGCTAGAATGCTTTGACAGTTGATGTTTAACACACATGTTGCTCTTAATTTACATTCAGGCGTTCAGTGCAAGGCGATATCCCGATTTAAAACTTTCTCAGGCGTATTCCTGGCCAGCGATTACCCGCGGTCATCATGTGATAACAGTGTCTCCACCTGGTGGCGGGAAAACATTAGCATATTTGTGTCCACTGATCTCAGCCCTGTCTGATGCCAAAGTCTACCATCAGGTTGATAGGAATGGGAAAGGGGTAAGCAATTGAAAACCTTGTTTATGTTCAATATGTGGCAAATGGCTTGCTTCTTTAAAGTGACTTTATGCTAGCTTTGTTGTTGATGAGTGGACCTGAAGTGACAATTTATATAAAAATCTTGTAGTTTTTGGTGAATGAAAGTACAGAAAATTTTATAATAGAACAGTAACTGATAATTGTTTATGACATGCTTATGTATTTATAATGAATAAGCCACATTTGGAACACACATTGTTAAGAAATATACCATGTCGCGTCCCTGCAACTAGAACATGTGTCAGTGTAACCTGAAAATTAAATTTTAAAAATATTTTAGAAAATTTTAAACTGTTTTATTTTGGGCACCCAAATTGGGTGATAGTTTTGTAAAATTTACATGGAGTCGAGCTGGAAAAGGTGTTTTCCGGGGCCCCGTCCCTTTTGATAGGGGTCGTCAGGTTTATGAAGGGTCATCCTAGTCCCTGGTGGTGCACATTTAAGGGGAAACCCCAGAAAGTGAAAGGGTTAGATACAGTTATTACCCCAAAAAATCTCTTTTCATTAAATTGACTAGAAACCCCATGTAAAACCTTTTTGGGCCCAATTATATAATTTTTTAATGTCCCTTTTGCCAAAATTGGTTATTGATGTATTGATAGAAGTTGCCCTTAACGGACAAGAGTTGACGCCACATGCAGTTCTCTTGTAAGGTTAAAATACAAGTGAAACTATACCTAGTTAACACAGTTTTTGGACAAGAAATTTGCAAAATTTATGAAAAGAATGAATGGACTTAAAATAATTATAGATTTTAATCAAAAAGAAATTTGTTAATCATTATAAATTATTTTATAGTATTGTAACAGTGATTTGTTTTATGAGGAGTTCAATGATCAATTTGATAGAAAAAAACAACAATAAATTAATAATGTTACAAAATATATATACATCATAACTGTTTGGAAACTATTTCAGTGTGAACTGTTAAATGGTTGTGAAATATTGGTGGCCACTCCCCCAAGTTTGACTAGAATTCTGGAGGCGGGGTATACAGACTTGCGTAGATTATGTCATCTGGTATATGGTCCATCTTTATACTTTATAGTTTAAATTGTTTTATAAAAAAAAAGTATCTTCAGAAAATTAGTATAATGCATGTATTGTTTTATAGAGATGCCATTTTGATTTATTGCATTCTTGCATATATCTTGATTGATTACTCAACTTATGCATGTGAAGGGGTCTGTGTTGCTGATTTGGAAATCATTTACCTATACAACTGTGGGCATGAATCCTGTCTGGGATTCTAAGCTATCCAGGTAGCTTGCAACAGATATTTGGTGGTTCTACTTAGTTGCCTTTGTAGAGTGCCACCTTAGGTCTTCCTGCACTAGAAAAGTTGAAATATCACCATATTGCTTGAAACCCAACCCAACCAATTACTCCTATTGTACCATCTACAACACTTGAGGCCAATTTGCTTATATGTTAATTCAAGTTTCCATTCTTTTCCCATAAACTTAATTTTGTGCTATAATCATTGAAACGATATAACTGTTTAAAGTATGGTATGGTCATTAGGTAGTTGATGATGCTGACCAAACGTTGAAGAATTTCAACAAAGATATTGGCAACTTAATCAAAACGTACCACCTAGTTATCAAGAATGAGATGAAGAATTTAGGATGCCCACGACACAGATCTTATGTTTTGGAGCACAGTGGAATCAGGCTACCAATGAGTTTATGCTTAACAATCTGAACGAACCGTGTTGATTATCAACATCTCCGTTTTGAGGCGGCAATTACGGCCAAGTTAAACAGGTATTTCTATATGCTTCACAATAAGTAGATTGGTTAAAGGACATGGCTACTAAGCCTTTACTAGATTTTCCTATTTATATGAGGTTTCAAGCTTAAGACAACATGATAGATACCATAAACATTAAAATTGTTAATAAAAAAAAAAGGGCCCAGAATTTTTAATATTTTTTCTATCTTAAAGGGGTTTGACCCTTTGGCTGACATTTTTTGGGACCTTTTTAGGGGTAGGCCCATGGAAAATGAGGACCCCAAGTTTTTTGGCTAATTTGTTTTTTGTATCTTTAATATTTAAAAATTAACAACACTATGTTTGGGCTTATATTGCCCTTTTCCTAATGGTAAAATAATTTTCCTTTTAAAGGCTATTTTTTTTTTTTCCTTTTGGGCCTTGAAAGTTTTCAAATAACATTGGGGTCAAAATTTCCCTGAAAAACTTTTATCTGGAAAGTAAAGAGCTACAAGGGAAAAATATATTTTCATTTAATAAGATTTAAAAAAATTTTTGCCGGGAAAACCTTGGTAAATATTGACCTTAATTTAAAAAAATTGAAAGAAAAACGAAAAATAGGAAATACCTTTAAATGATGGATGAGGTCATTAGCAGGGATGCAATGTAAATATTAACAGATGTCAAGTGATCACCTACCCTGTATATAACTATGAACATTTCTACCGATAGAAAAGATAAGATAAATGAAATTGACATTTTTTGTACATTTACAAATTTAGCAATATTTAAATATAATTCTACATACATATTTATTTGAAGTTATCTTTATGTGTTGCTAGATTACACATATGTGTAGGAAAGCAGAAAGACTGAAGGAAGTACTGGGTATACTAGAAAACCTGCCAGATGACTCAAGTCATCCAGTCATCATTTTTGCCTCAAATAAACGAGACATTCTGATGTTATATAAGGTAATTAACTTATTTTACATTCTACATTTTACATTGTTCATTTGTTTTTCTTGTCAGACTGGTAATGCTCTGAATTTGAATCATTGTGTATTACCTCTGTGGGTTTCAATCACAATAGTTTATACAACTTTATTTTAGTTTGATTGTGTTGGAAACTATAAGCTTATTGAAACAATCTTGAATCCGTTCCTGGAACCAACCAGTACTAAGCAATGATTGTAAAGTTTCTTGCTCAAGGAAACAACGCCTTGCCCCTGACACCCACCCGGTCAGCAATCCTTAAATTACTAGTCTGATGTGTTAACCACTGGTCCACGCCCCACTCCCAATAGAGACATTGAATTTTAGCTTGTAAGATTGTCAACTTTTTAGCTTATAGATGGTTCATGGCATAATTTGGGTGCCTTTTTTTGGATGAAATGATACAGATACCAATCAACTTGAAATTTTGACTGATAATTTTCAAAACTAACCATGGACTATGTGAGGAAGCTATCCAGCTAGTTTATAGAACGTCAGTGGTTCTATTCAGGTACCTGTTTGTGTGCCTGAATAAAATGCATGAAGGGGACCTTAGGTCTCTCTCTACCAGTTTAAATATAACCTTTACAATGTTTGTACGATGTAAAACCTAACAAAAAAAATTCAACAACCCAGTTATAAACCACGGATTTGAATGATATCATTCATTAGATATAATTTGTTTTAACACAAAATTAGTTAAAACAAATATGTTGAAAATTTTGTACCCCTGAATTCATGGTATTTTATATCTCTTTCAGACATTGAACACAAGTTCTCGTTTCTGTCTGATGGTACATGAAGATATGGACACGTTCGAAGTGGAAAAGATTGCTGACCAGTGGCCTGTACCCCTACTAGGTAAGTCCAGTGTGTACATAGAACATTCACTATGATAGAAATACATGTACAATTACAGTGTTATAACAACAACAACAATACCAACTTAACCTTTATTAAACTATATACATGCAGACAATGATACAAGAGTATACTCCCCTTGTGGCTGAGGGGTTGCCTTTAATAGTTGATGCGTAAGTATGACAGCCAATGTAATGCTTTTTACATGTGAACTTTTTCTGACGATCAAGTGGGAAATTTTTCTTCAAAATGAGGGAGAGTTTAGAATTTGCAATAAACAAAGAAGAAAGTTCTGATATCAAAAATAGGGAGATTTCTTTAATTTGTTCAAATACCCCTTATTTTAAGAAAAATCTTTGAAAATACGGCTGCAAAAGTGGGAGTCTCCTGCTTAAATTGGGAGAGATCACATGTATGTTTTTATGAGCAATTAATAGGTTTGAATAACTGGAGTCTATGCATCTCTTAGCTCCAGCAGGTGATGTGGTTTTGATCCCTGGTTTTGCTTTGAAGTTTGTAACGCCCAAGGTTACCCAAAATCATCTTTCCTGTTGCAATGCCATATGACCTATACTGTGTTGGTGCACCCTAAAAAGCAAAAAAATTAAACCGAACAAGAGTATACAATAATAAGTATATTTATCTTTACAATCCGACAATCTAATCAAAATAACGAAAAATAACTTCTGTACAGGAATAGTACCTTTTTATGTTCTTGTGTGCTTATAATAATTATTTTGATATAAAGATGTGAAGATTTGACTTGATGTATTACAGTATGTTGGGATGAGCATACAGCTAAACTAGGAATTACTAATGCTACATCTGTAATCCACTATGACATGCCACCATCGAAGACAAAGTTCAGTAACAGATTATGTTGTATGAGACAATACTTCCATGACTTCTCCAAGACAGAACAGGTATCCTGCTATCTAATTTTATACTAGCAGTGGTGAAATTAAGTAAAGTTCTAGTGATTTAGATTTTTGTATGGAAATCAAAATACCACTTTGTTTACATTCTGCTACTTTTATGACAAATTATTTCACATTCATCACTGCTCTCTTTAGGTGATATTAGTCAACATGCTCTAAATCTGTTATTGAAACAGTATAAAACACATGTTTGCCTTTACAAAAAAAGAAATTGTACTCAATTTGTGTGCCATCAAAAATTTGTATGTTATATAGCTATGTCTATCATAGAATTTGCTCTTAGAAGCAAGCAGAATAAAACAAATGTAATATTTTTACTGAAACATAACAGAACAAGTAAAACATTTTGTTTCTTAACCTCTGGGCATTCCTTTGATTTCTGCCTAAAGCTGAGGGAAAGCTTTGCCTTAGAATGTAATACCCTATGATGCCATAATAGTGTGTAAATATCAGACTCATACAGTAAAAGTTAAAATAGTGTTTCTCAGGGAGTGATTGGTTTTTAGCTCGACTATTCGAAGAATATGAGAGCTATTGTAGTCGCGTCGGCGTCCGCGTCGGCGTCTGCGTTGGTTAAAGTTTTTTGTAAAGTCAAATATCACAATTATTACTTGAGATATTCAATTGAAACTTACAATACTTATTTATAGTAACCAGGTACATCAGATAGACAAGTTTGATAACTCTGCCTACAATATTGACAGAATTATGCCCCTTTTTAACTTAGAAATTTTGGTTAAAGTTTTTTGTAAAGTCAAATATCTCAATTATTGCTTGAGATATTCAATTGAAACTTACAATACTTATTTATAGTAACAAGGTACATCAGATTGACAAGTTGGATAACTCTGCCTACAATATTGACAGAATTATGCCCCTTTTTAACTTAGAAATTTTGGTTAAAGTTTTTTGTAAAGTCAAATATCTTAATTATTGCTTGAGATATTCAATTGAAACTTACAATACTTATTTATAGTAACAAGTTACATCAGATTGACAAGTTGGATAACTCTGCCTACAATATTGACAGAATTTTGCCCCTTTGTAACTTAGAAATTTTGGTTAAAGTTTTTTTGTAAAGTCAAATATCTCAATTATTGCTTGAGATATTCAATTGAAAATTAAAATACTTTTTTTTTTATAGTAACAATGTACATCAGTTTGCAAAATTGCATAACTCTGCCTGCAATATTTGCAGAATTAAATGCCCCTTTGAAACTTAGAAATTTTGGTTAAAGGTTAAAGGTCTTCAAAGATATTTACTTGAAACTTTACACATGCACTTAGGGTCATAATTGGAGGGTCATAATTGTATGTCACTGACCAAGTTCCATAACTCTATCTTGCATTAAGGCTGATTCATATCCCCTTTTTCTACTTAGTCTCTTGGTTAATGTTTACATGCAAGTTTTACATATCTCAATTACTATTAAAGATATTTATTTAAAACTTCACATATGCATTTAGGGTCATAATTGTAGGTCACTGACAAAGATCCATAATTCTATCTTGCATTTAGGCTGATTTTTCTCCCCTTTTTCAACTTAGAAATTCATTTGTAAGCTGTTATCTCAATAACTACTGAACGGTTTGTGCCTTTTTTGGGACAATTTTATGCATTCATAATAATAAAGCAGTGATTTACTTGATAAAACATCTTAATAACAAGCCTTTGTACCTTTTCTGTCAAATTTATGTATTCATAGGTAATTATTATACTCAATAAAACACCCTTGTGACATTACCTTTCGAATAGTCAAGCCAATACTGTTTAATTAGACTCTCTCTAAGGCCTATAACAAGAATTTATAAAAAAAATTAGCCCTTTTGTGAACTTAAAAAATTTAACATTATCAAGGCTCTTTTACTATCAAGCACTTAGAATAGTCGAGCATGCTGTCCTACAGACAGCTCTTGTTTATAGTGAAAATGAAAAATTGACCAGAATTTTATATGAAACAATGTAATTTTTTTTGTTTTCAGTCAACCATTAAGCCAACTTCACATATGATTATAACAGAGGACTGTGATAGACAGTTAAGAAGTTTAAATGATTTACTGGTGAGATTAGACTGTGAACGACCAGCTGAGCTGAAACAATTTATGGCTGGGCTATTAGAGGTGAGTTAATACACTGAATTAATTACTATTTATTGCTCAGATACTTTTCCAGAAAAAATCTTGCTTTAAATTCCAAAAAAATTTTTTTAAGCTCATCTGTAAAAACTGTTATACCGGTTTGGATGCACGCCCCGCTTTGGGAGATATGCTAGAGGACTGATAAATAAAAATCCAAGATTTAAATTTTGAAAAACATTAATTCTTTATTCTGTGACAGTCAAGATGGAATATATTTTATATTACAATACATTATAAATAATTATAATAATTATTTAGTAATTGCAATATCTAAATTAACAAATACATGATATGGGGAATTTAACAATAACTCGCTTTGCAGGTGAGAAGATACCGAGATCTTGGTCGATGATAAAAATCCTTAATCAACCGATACTTATAAAAAATGAACTTTAAATAGCTTTGAAATGAAACTGAAAGAA